TGCCAGTCTGGGACAGGAGCTGGGGTCTGTGAGCTACAGTGCCAGTCTGGGACAGGAGCTGGGGTCTGTGAGCTACAGTGCCAGTCTGGGACAGGGGCTGGTGTCTCTGTGAGGCTGGACCCTATGACTAGAAGTGTTATCTAGAGACTATTCTCTAAGTAAGGAATCCTAGTGGAAATCTTTCAACCACAATACCTTAATTGGTTAATTTAAGACAAGTAGCTCAGAGGTTTGCTGGGGGCACTGGAGTCACCCAGGATCAATAATGAGTTCCCACAGTTTAGTGAACTAAGCGATCGAGTCCCCCGTTTTTTTTCCGCTAGTGGGCGTGAAGGGGTGGAACCCCACTTGTTCTGTTTTGCAGTGTAAAACCATCCTGATGTCTTTTCTCATGCTGAGAAAAAAAACCTCTAGGGGTCCAAGGTCAACTGGTTGCCCAACCCCTTTGTGCATGCTAACATTATATAATTTTTAAAAAAGGAAATAAATGAATGAGGATATTAATCCATCTATCATGTCTTCTGTGTGTTAGTACTCCATGCAGATCTCTGTAGACCAGTAAATTCCTCCTAAACGATAACTATATCCATGATGTCTCTCTTGGATCCATGGCAGTGATACAACATCCAACTCAGATGGTGTCCAGTCCGGGTGCCAACCGGACATGTGGGAGGAGAATAGGATAGTTTGGTCAGAACAGATGTATCTACGTGGTGGGCCAAGATAGAGACACACAATGTCATGTACAGCAGCACCAGCAGCCATGGTTGCAGCAGGCTATAATGTAAGGTTGGAGTAGGCTAGGCTGAAGTAATAGGTCTGTATTTGAATACTGAGATTGACTTGACATCCTGAATATGGGGTGGGAGACTGTTCCATAAGCTAGCGGCCCTGTAACTAAAGGCTTTACCGCCAACTGTTATTTTATTAATGCATGGAATATGAAGAAGACCTGCATTCTGTGCTCTAAGCTGGCGACTTGGATGGTAACATTAATAAGTTCCATTAGATAGACAGGTGCCTTACCTCTGAGAGCCTTGTAAGTAAGTAGAAGGATTTTGAAGTCCACCCTGTATCTGACAGGAAGCCAATGAAGAGAGCTAAGTATGGAGGTTATCTGGTTGTACTTTCTACTCCTGGTAACAATTCTAGCTGCTGCATTCTGAATTAGCTGTAAGGTGTTGAAAGAGTGGTGGGTGCTCTCTGATAGTAGGGTATTGCAGTAGTCTAACCTGCTATATAGAAGAGCATGTATTAATTTCTCTGTGTCTTGAGTGGAGAGTAACTGCCTTAGTTTTGCAATATTTCTTAAGTGTAGGAAGCATGTTTTAGATACTGTTTTAACAGGAGAGTTACAGTAAATGAGAGCCTTGTGTCTAATATGACGCCTAGGTTACGTACTGAGTCTTTGAGGCAAATTTTGAAATCCTCTGAGTTAAGTGCTGAAGTTATAGCTGTCCTATTAGTATTTTTGCCTCCAAACATCAGAACCTCAGTTTTATCAGAGTTGAGTAACAAAATGTTTTCACACATCCAAGTCTTTACTTCATTAATGCAATTAACTAAAGTGATAATAGAAGAGTTGTCATTTGGTGTAAATGAAATGTATATTTGAGTGTCATCAGCATATAAATGAAAGTTAATATTATGTTTTTGTATTATCCTACCTAGTGGCAGCAGGTAGAGAACAATATTGGTCCCAGCACTGATCCCTGTGGTACCCCAAATTGAACTGGTGACATTGAAGAAGCAGTACAATTATTAAATATTTGAACATAATGAAAACAATTAGTTAGATATGAAGTAACCCACTTAAGGACAGTTCCAGATAAGCCAACCTCAAACTTAAGCCTGTGTAACAAAACAGAGTGGTCAACCATGTCAAAAGCAGGACATAACAGGACAATGATGGAACAAATTACATTAATGCACAGCTGACACCAAAATCACAGTAAACGATCTACCGCTACATTAAAAAAATGGGGCAGGACTATTAGGAACTATTGGTAATTAGGACTATTACACACATTTTCTCGAGTTTGGTTGAAGGGACAGTATTGTTTTTCTACAAGGAACAGGGGGTGTTGCTTCTGATCTAGTCAAATATATTTACCTTTGACATATATTCGGTATTGTAGACATACTTATCCTTTGCTAAAAACAACTTTTGTAAATATGTCAATTACTCTTGACGGGCCATTTGATGTCCATTTGGTCACTGTGGCAGATTTAGTGCATTGTAATGAAGTGGCTGTTAACTTTGTTTCTAAATTTGAACAGCTGTATGGCAAAGAGAATATAACCATAAAAATTCATTTGTGCTTATATTTGGTATCCAGTGTAAAAAACTGAGGTCCTTTCTGGGCACATTCTGCTTTTGAATTTAATCCTTCAATGGATTTATATTGAAAATGTTTCATGGTACACAGGCTGTTCCAGTTCAAACAATGAAGACATTCACTTATCACAGGGCACTGCCAAAACTGAAACATTTGTACATGCCAAGTCCTTCACCTTTATGTGAGGCACTTTACAATCAAATGACTGGCATCAGTAAAAGGGAAACTGTAGAATGCATATGATCATATGTAGGTATTGGTGGCTACAACGTATTGCAAGTTGATGGGGAGGATTTGTTTGCTTTGAAGAAGAAATGCAATGTTGTGTCTGGTGCAATGTTTAAGAGATATAAGAGGATGATTACTGGTGGAAAGCTGTACTATTCTGTAGCTTATGACAGAGTAACAAAGCGAAATAGTTATACTGTGCAACTTAAAAATGGAAAAATTGCAAGTATACAGTGCTTTTTGCTTCCATGTGGAAGTACTGTTTGCTATACCTTGGTAAAAATTTACAGAAAAGCAAATGTTCCCCAGTTAATTTGAGAACCTCTTACAGGGGTTAAATTGAAACATATACAAGCTTTTCAAAGGAATCCTGATGGTCGAAAAATGGCAGTGGAAGTTAACCTGATGTGTTGTAATGGATTTGCCTTCTGAAAGCTACCTGTACATAGGCAATCTACCACACTTTAAAGTTGAGGACTGATTTGTAAAACCAGCAGCTAATACATCCTACCTGAAATGCGTGAAAAGAACTATGTGTTGTTGTGTAAGATATAATGTATAGCAAAAAATAAAATTGGTTACAGGGCCACAGCAAAAATTGAAGTAATCTATAATAATTACTTTGTTAAAACAATGTGATTGTATAAGTGCTGTCCAGTGCTTTTCCTGGATACCACAATCAAGTACATTTTATATGACATCCTAGATTACTAACTGCATGTTATGTCAATGTTAGGAACTGTATAAGATAAACAAGTATTTTTTCAGTTACAGATGATGTAAGGAACATATTCTGTTGCTTGTTGCAAATGATGTTTATTAAATTAACAAATGATCTGCTTTGTTGATAATTGGTTTAATTAAATGCAGATGTATAACTACATTAACAACATTCTCAACCATAACTGTATAACATGGGCTAAGCTAAAGACATTATGAAAGAATGTTTGTTAGAAACGTTCAAATAATATTAAAATATAATTAAAAAAATACCCTATGAAAAAATGCAAATACACATGTATTTCATATCTTATTGTGAGTAACTCATTCCAGTGTTAAAATTAATTTTCCAGACAATACAAATTGTTTGGGAAAGTTTTAGACAGTTTTTAAATTCTAAAAATTCAGTAAGTAATTCAAAAATTGATTGAGTTCCTTTATCTTAATTACTTTGATTTAATTTTGTGCCAACAACTGAACAGATGTACACATATATGCAATGAAGTGATAGAATCTCTAAATCAAATAGAAGGTGTTAATTGTTCTACTTACCTGCCTAATTAGAGTACTTATAGGAACAATTAAAGGTTTATTCCATGCTGAACAGAAAGGAAACACAATGTTGTTTCAGCATGGAATAAACCTTTACTTGTTCCTTTGCAGCCTATGCATGCTGACACAGTTACCTACTTGAACTATTTATAGTGAGTTACAGGGAGTTCAAAATAAAGTGGATTCATGTGGAAGACTGTGTTTAACTTTTTCCAGATTAACAGATAAGCAAAATACGTACATGATCTGGCAGAGCCTTGGACCTGGAGACAGTATATTGCTTATCTTATACACGATAGATTTGGAAATATGTTTGTTAAAATATATTATGAGAAATATATATTTCATTGTTTTCAAATATCATCTTAAAATTATATTTTTGAACTAAATATATTTTACATTATATTGAAAGATATGTCCACATATTTTTCTGGTATATTGCAATATATTTCATTTTCGTAAGGGCTCCGACTGGATACCGCACAAATCCCTTAAAACAGACACAGGGCCGCCCGGTATTCCTGTCTCAGGTCACACCTAGCAATTACATTACCTTCCATATAAGGGAGCTGCTTAAAATCCTTGCTCCTATTGGTCGTCAGTGACCTTCTTTTATTACAAGACATTGAGAAAAAATAAAAGCATTTATGTAAAAAAACGCGTTTTTTTTCAAAACGTCGATAAGACTTAATCGTACAGCAATCGTTCAGAAATACACCGGGGCTTTTATCGCCATTCCCTCCGCATTCATTGTTAAAATGAATGCGGAGGGAGAATGCTGCACCTTGGCGGCGCTTTAAAAGACCCGGAAATGAAACACGCCTCCAGGCACTCGCTGGGAAAAGTCGCTCCAGGAAGCAGGAGGTGTCTGCGAGCCGAGCCCTAGTCCCCAGCACTTCTCTTGCGCTACAGGCAGACCCGCAGCGCCGCTGTCTCCTCCAGTCTCCGGCCCTCTCACATCCTTCTCACCACCACTGCGATATGGTAAGGCGGCTTATTTCGAGTAAACTGCGGAGTTAAAAGTATGTTAAATGGAAAAGTATGGGGGAGAAATAAAATTATGACGTTTTATGGATAATTTAGGATTAATTTATTTAAGATTGAAGTTGTCTCGAGGTGTAAAAGCCCTGTAACCTGCAGGGTACTTGACTTTTAACAAGCGCGCAGGTTAAGGGCGGTGAGACCTCGGTCTCGGACTGGGGTAGTTTAATCTCCCTGATCACGATACAGGAACTGCACCAGAGAAAAGTTTGGCGACTAGCTGCCCTGAAAATCTTGAAGCGAAACTAGATAGTGGCATCAGCCATTGACTTAATAATAAATTAGTTCTGAACTTTGAAGGAATTGTTATCGGATCAGCTGTCCCCCTTGCGTGGACAGAGACTCTGAAGTTGTCCTCGGATGGTTATCTTGTTTGTCGGTTGTGCGCCGAGGTCCGGTAGGCGCGGCTGCGGTGAAATCACCTTTTCCCAGGTGCTGTAAATATCTGGATAGTCACCTTCTCCCGCTGACTGCGTAGAGAGATCGATTAAAGGGTGTGTTTTCTCACTTTTATTTCTATTATAGAAGGAAATAACTGAATTCAACACTGGTTCTTTCACGCTTTCTTCATATCGCTTTGATCTACATTGGAACATGAATCTCCCAACCCCCCCTCTTACATTTTCCTAGGCGTCCTCTTTTCTTGTTTCACGGTTTTTAACTTGTTCTGAGTTTCTATGGCTAAAACCAGACCGTCTTTAGTAACACAGCTGGACTTGAAGGGGTTTAAGCCGCATGCGCTGCCTGGCGGCTCCTGTTTGTACGGATTTGTCACGAACGTCCTGAGTGGGTCTGGCGGAGCCGGGCACGGTGCGGTGTTCCGACTGAGGCTGTTCTGTAAATGAGACCCTATCAGATAGATAATGTCTAGATTGGACTATTGACTCTTTTGAATTCTGGAGGTTGGTGTTTGTTCTGGACAGCGCTGGGATGGTGCGTTGTGGGAAGCGCGCAGGGGCGAGCGCGGTGCGGCCGAGCTCTGCCAGTAGCGACTTGTCCGCAGCAGGCAGGTATGCGGGCGCGGGCGCGGGCTTCTCCGGGCGCGCCCCTGCGGCTTCACAGGGCTGAGCAGCGCGGCGGGCTCGGCCTCTCCCAAATACTCCCAAATCCATACTCCTTCCACAGGGTGTGAGGTCGCACCAGGCCCATTCCAGAGGAACACACGAGCTGAGATGGGTTTTTGTTGAATTCCCTGTGTTGTATTGTGGCCAATTCTCAGACAAAGCAGCCATTGACCTAACTCTTTCAATACCTCCTTTTCATGGAAATGTGCTACAAAATCTTAGCCTTGTGCTCTTTTTCTAAGATGGAAGAAAATCTCAGGCAGAAGAGAACGTTTGTTACTTTGAAGAGTTTTGATCATTGCTCCTGTTAAAGACGTTGCGTCTTTGGAAGTATTGTGCGGAGGACGGGCTCCCCTGACTGGAGTGGCTATGCTGTTGCTCATCCCTGCAGCGTTGACAGCCTTCAGCCCGTCGTGCTGCTGCTTTGCCGCTAGCCTGGTGTTCCTGAATGTGGCACCTTGAACTTGGGAGCTCCTGCAGGGCAGCAGGCCCACAGACTTCTCACCTGTGCTGAGCAGTATGGCCCTCTTCAGCCTGTCCAAGCAAACCCTTGCAGTGTATAGTAAAAAGCTTCTCTGTAACTTTCTATATAATAGAGCAAGTTTTGTTTTCAGTCTCTTAAACCTCTAACTAATGTTCTTTGGGGTGCTGAGATCTGGATTCTTACTTGTAGTCTTCTGAAGTATTTTTCCTTGACTGTTCATATCCTTCCTTTTCCCCCAGACTGTAGAGGACTCTGGTTCTCTGTTTCTTCCTGCAGTAATTAATGAAACTTGGGGTCATGAGGACAGCTGTGGTTTTCAAAGAGACAGGAGTGCTGAGGGTGCCCTCAGAAACTATCCTAAGGTGAAGGCAAGATCCAAGCCATAAGTTCTTCAGGTTTTGACATTAAATGGGTTATACCATTCTTAAATTTCTTTATTTTGAGCCTTCTACTTAGGAAAAAGGGTGCTGTATCTAATTTGGTTAGTCCCACTTTAATTGGATTATGGAAATGTGTATTCATGTGGGATGCGGTGATACTAAATGTAACTCATCAGTGAATATCTCCAACTACTATCTGTTTTCCAATGCACTTTATTAGTTGAATAAAGTCATTACCTAAAGGCTGGACTTTCAATTCAATTAAAAAATGTTGCAACGTGCAGTCTATTAAATACACTTTAGTCCAGGGAGTGCCAGGGCTGTTTCTTTCAGATCTTCAATAGAAGATCTTAAATTGGTTTTTAGGTGATAACAGTAGTTTGTGGACTCCCCCTTCTCTTGGTTGTTAAAGATAGTGGATCTATTGAACCTGTTCTAAAATCTAGTTCTGTGAGCTGCTTTCCCAAAATGTGCCCTTTGGCATTTTCCATTATATCTCGTTAATCTTTGTCTGCAAACTAATAAAGGTCCTGCCTTCAGATAGGTTCCGTTTTCACTCTGTGGGATATTTGCTGAACTTGCCGCAGGAGCTCCCAGGTGACTCTTGCATGAAAATCTTGATCTTGACTTTGGAGAGCTAGTACTATTGAAAGCAAAATGTTGGATTAATCTGAAATAGAAGTTTAACCAGGAAAAACAAGACCTTAGCAGGAAACCTGTCATAGGATTATGCCACTACAAAATTAATGCTTTTTCCCACCTTCCGGTTCTGCTCACTTTCCAAAGTGGATTAAGGTTTTCCTGCAGTCAGTCTTCTGAATACTGAAATAACAGGGCTGGGGATGATGTGATCATAGGCTGGGTTTGGAAGTGCTGGGGGTGGGTACGCCCTCTGGTGGCTGCTTGTGAGATACAGTAGGGAGACGAAGCTTGGGGGAGGTGTGCTGAGTTGCCTAACCGGTTCTGCACTGGCGCTTGTGAAACTCATGAGTGAAGAAGCAGCCAAGGAAAATGCTGGCCTGTTTTACTGTAAAACTGTGGTCTGTTTTCTGAATCTGCTCTTCTGGATCACTGAGTTAATGCTCAAACACTCCAAACCTACAAGGCAAGGTTGATGGTTACAGGGTTGCTTAAAATACCTCTGGTGTGTGTGTGTGTAATCCCCTGAGGCAGGGTTCCTTAATACTTGCAGACAATCTAATCTTTCAGTTGAATCGTGGTAGGTTGGTAAGCTTGAATCATGAGATCAGCAGAACCACACAGAAGTATAAGAATTTGGGCACGGCTTATGGATTATCTCTTTCAGTGAGCAGAACTGACTGTGGGGTTAATGAAGTGAAGCTCAGGACACTGGGTGGACATGCTTGGTTCACTTTCAGCTAGAAACTGCAGCTGGCTGCCCTGCTAACTCATCCCACTGTCCCAAGGCTTCTGGGGTCGCCGTCCACGACGATGTGGTCAACATCTTCAATGCCATGAAGGTGCGCAAGGCTGGGGAAGCCGAGCAGGACCGGCTGAAGGCCATCTTGTTCCGCCTGAGCAACGACGAGAAGCAGATCATTGTGGATGAAGGCAGCGAACTCCACGTGCGGGACCTGCAGCCAGGCGAGGACATCTTCAAGAGGGTGGTGGGCCTGCTTCCAGAGAAGGACTGCCGCTATGCCCTTTACGATTCAAGCTACGAGACCAAGGACAGCAAGAAGGAGGACCTGGTCTTCATCATGTGGTGAGTGATTCTCTTGGATCCTTTTTAATGCCAGTGGAGGTGAATCTTGCAGCACTCTTCCTCATCTGCCCTGAGTGTTAACACATTCCTTTCAAACAAGCGGCTCTGCATCCCAGAATACAATTCAGAAATGGCTTTTGGTTCAAAAGCCAGCCGATTTGGACACCTGTCAATTTTGCCCTCTTCAGAAAGCCATTGGTTCATGCACCCATTTCCTTATGCAAACCTTTAACCATTAACATACAGCCACCATGACTTTTTGGACACTCTGAAACCTGGAGTAAAGGAGAATGACAAACGTTGGCTGGGCCAAACAGCTACAGAGAGCAGCACTATGTATGAAGGAGTGTCTGACCTTCTCTGGTCCAGCTGATGCTGTCTGAGTCTATGGGAAAACTTGTCCCTGTTCTGAACTGTGAAAGGCTGTCCACTTCTGCTCCTGGACTCCCTCTGTATTGACAAGTGTTCCAATGCCACCTCTTTAAAGAGACAGACATGGAGATGAAAGGAAGTGTCTTTTATTGGTCTGGATTAGCCACAAAGGAGCTGATCATGGTCATAAAAAGTGAATTTAGAATGTAAACCTGCAGAGATGCCTTCCTTACTGAACTGGCTCAATATCCCAGGAGGGTGATGGGTAGAGTGTGCTCTTTGGCCCTTCCTGGGATAAAATCCATGCAATCATGCCTGCATATTTCACTGACTCACCGTTGCCCTTTCACATGCTCCTATTAGAATCCCTTGGATGAAAAATGTATAATCAATTTTTTTTTTTCTAATCTAGGGCTCCAGAGAATGCCCCTCTGAAAAGGAAGATGATCTATGCCAGCTCAAAGAATGCACTTAGATCCAAATTGACAGGTCAGTTCTAGAATGGCTGCAGACGCCTGTATACAAAGTCACTGTGGGTGTGGTAATATCCTTCCAGCTCTAACTTTAGTTAGTCTAATTCTACATGGATATAGGTGTAGCACTCAAAATGAACAGAAACAGTTTTCTGATGTGCAAATTTAAGCCTTGGTTTGTCTTCGGTAACACAGTATCTTTGCTTAGCACCCAGAAGGTCGATTCCTCCTCATTTTTGTGCATAATCTGTGTGAGATTGAGGGCATTTTTGTTTCCCTGTTCTTGTAGGTATAAAGTTCGAGTGGCAGATCAATGAGATGGGAGAGATCAAGGATCCATCCACGCTCGTGGAGAAGTTTGGAGGCAAGGGCCTGGTTGTGTCTGTGGAAGGGAAGCCCATCTAGACCCCAGTCCCCTGCTGTTTGGCCAGAATAGTCTGTGTAGAAGATGCTGTTCTGTATAGAAACATGAGAATTATTGTCTGTCTAGCCCATATTGCACATGTGGATTTTCACTTGCAATGTGCTGTTTATTTAAACAGCCCAGTCTTCCCAGTTAGTTCTGGCTTAAATTTAAATCTAAATAAGGAATGGATTTTTGGTCTTAGCCGATCTGCGGTGCCGGTCCTTCATCTTCTCGGGATGATGGTTTTGGGGAGAGGGGGAGCCGGGACCGCAGGCCTGGTCTGATGGGTTCTAACCTGCCATTGAGGGGTTGACCCCAAAAGCTGGAGAGCTGCTCTTGCACTTGCAATTCCACGGGTATTGCGTATTTCGACATTCCTTCCTCTTGGGGATTCATTCTGCTGCTACTGCTAAATCCTTTAGGTACCTGCTGTTTGTAGAGGCAGCTTCCATGCAGAAATGAAGTCTTCTATTCTTGGGCTTCCTTTACTCGACTCACTCGTAACACCTTTTCCAGTCTTCCCATTTTTCTGTTTTGTCCTGAAGCTGCCCGTCTCTCTATCTGTGTGTAGTTTGTTCTGGAGATCCAGGTGTAATTCAAGGTGTGCTGTTTGGATATGGAAGTGTCACCGGTATTAATAAAGTTCTGAACCCTGGGCTGTAGCTGAGTTGATGTGCTTTTGTGGGCAGGGGGGAGGATGATGAGGGTGTTCAGAAACATCAACAAATTAGTTTGAAGGCCAGTATCAACCTGAACACTTGGCTCAAAGTCTTCCACATTAAAGTGGAACCGCAATGGTATTCATATAGTGCAGTTCTAGAAAGAATTCGCATTGACTGCATTTCAAACTGCAATAAAAGTAAAATGTACAACTGTACTTTAAACCTCCACTTTACATCACAAAATAAGCATTATTCCCAGGTATACTGTATTCTGCAATCCAAAACAAGGATGATGCATTGAGTGCAGTCACTTGAATCGTCAACTTGATGTTGATACGTGTATAACCTGCAATGTCTTGCTTTTACTCCTAGACTGAAGTAAGACCTTGACGTTGTGGTGGAGGTGCACCTGTCTATTGGGGGAAACTTAAGAACATGAGTGTGTAGAGCTGCAGGTGTGAGGGACAACCAGTCCCCATTTGTCCAGAAGAGCCTTCTCTGTGAACTTGGGTTAATTGTTTAAAAATGTATAAAGGGAGATTTTGTTTACAGATTACGTTCATCCTGGTCTGTAACTAGCTTGAGGACTTTCAGATGCCCCCATCATAGAAGTGGGGAGGAGGCTGGAGAAGTTGTAGTGGTACATGCTTCAGCAGGTGCCAGTGTATTCAGTTTATGCAGTAGCTGGAAATCTAACCCCAGGACCAAAGGGTTTAATGTGTGTGCAGCCTGGGATACGGACTGGACTTGGACCTGGCCGACCGAGTGACTCCTGGGCTCTGAGGATGCTTGTGGGAATGGCTATAAGTGGCGGTAGAGTGAGTTCTAGCTGCAGGAGGTAAACGGGGGAGATGGAAGGACTTGTATTTATATTTTTAAGTGGCCACATCAGAGGGTTTAATCCTTTACCTTCACTCAAATATCAATTACAAATGTTGGTAAATGGCATGCTGAACTGGATGTGTTGCACCATCATGCACTCTAAGGACATCTACTGCAGTGCATAATGGTCATTCATTACACATAGAAGGGCTATTATAAGTAGTCAAGGTATTATAAGTAACATAACCTTCAAATAATAGAAAGTGCCAGACCTTGCTGTCCTGTTGGCTTTAGCCATAAATTATCACATCCCAAAGATTAACAGACTGGATTGGTACCTTGCTGAAAACAAAAACTCATAAATGATCATTTTAATAGCATTACACAGATGACAGTGCAGAGAACAACAAGGGTCACACTTATTCACAACCCTGTAGTTAGTATTATGTAAGGGCTCCTCTGGTAGGCATTACACAGAAAGAGTGGCTCCTTTGGTCCAGTGAGGAGGGGGATTTGTGATCTTTCCTCCAGGCAAAATTGCTTTAGAATTGCCCTTTGGTTCAGTTTGTAAATGGCACACTTTTAGAGTTTAACTCACTGGAGACGGAGAGCCAGCCAAGACCATAAAATCTGTCAGACTATTTTAACCAACTTTGTGTTTCATAGAAGAAAGAACTAATTTCTTTTGCAAAAAATTTCCCATGTTGGAAATGCATAATTCTTGCATCTTGACAATGGCTTCACAGGCCACAGATACAAAAACCAATCCAAAAATTAATAGATCCCTTGACATAATGCATTGGAAATGTATCTACTGAACCAGAGCTTCACCTTTTTCACAGGCAACAGGAAACAACCAAAAAGCTCAATCTGTCCATAAAACATAATCCCATTTAACAGATGGGGTTTGCCATCAGAAGAGACTTCTTTGCATCCTGGACATGAAAGCCACATTGACACAAACCCCTTCATAGAGTAGTTTGACACATTGTATCCTGAAGATGCCAGCTTGTTTGAGATAACAGCTTTCACAGCTGGAGGTCTTGGAATTCAATTGCTTACCGAATCACCCAATCTTACAGCAAACTCTGGCAAGGAAGGCAATGCAAGTGTATTCCCTGCTATTCTGTTCCTGTACATACCAGATGGTAGGTTCAACTTTGTGAACTGTACAGCCTTTCCTCTGTGGAAAAGCCTGTGGAGGTCAGAAACTACTTGGAATCTTCCAGGAGCTCTCCTACCTTCACCATGATGCTGATGCTACTTCTATGCATTAAGACTATTTATACCCCAGGAAGTCAGAACCCTTTAGAGGCTAACATTACACTTCCACAAATGTAGAATTTTAACATAATGAAGGCATGAATAAGTGTAACCTTTATGTTCTCAAATGTATGACAAATCCCTTTGCATTTTTTAAAACTGGTTAAAGCAAGACATCCAATCCACAACTCACTCAATTAAAGGTTTTCATCAGGGGTATGAATTTCTGGAATGACTGTTCATGTTCACATCCATTTGAATGGCTGTGTATAAGAAACCAAACGAGACAAAGTGACTGCTACATGGTAGTTTATTCTTTGTCAAATTCACATGTTCATGTTGGTAACCAGCTACATGTGTAGAGGCACTTAGCATCGGTGTACCTTAAATGTTCCTCCCCTTTCAAACTTCCACAAAACACAAAAAAAAATTGCACTATTAGGTGTACATAAACGTACATTCAGTTTCCCTTTTAACACTGAGCTGTTGGGAGATCTGTGAGCATCAGACAGGAAATTGGTCAAATCGGAGTCACAATCATCACAATGGAATGTCTGAATAAAATAAAGTACTAAATGGGATGTATCTGCAGTTTTCTCCCTCAGTGAAATTCAGTTCTCTAACATTTTTACATTACTACAGTACAATAAAGAGCATATAGATGAGGAATGCATAATTTTATAGTAATTGTAAGGCATTTTGGCAAGTGTAGTGTTTCTTCGGTCTTGTGTTCTTAAACAGAAGTTCCTTCCTTCAACCCCTCATTTTTATCCTGAAAGAGAAAACAATTAAACAGTGACTTGGAATCTATTACAAACCTCAGGTTTAGCAAATGTTTGTTTAGCAAACAAAATGGACTGAACTTCTAAAACATCTAATGGTTTACAGCTGATCTAGTAAAAAGTGTTTATTCATGATCGGATGATGTTGATACCATACGTTACCGATTTGTGATCTAAATGCAGTGACCAGGCTATAGAGGAGCACAAGGCAAAGAGAGAACCACATCAGTGCCCCTGTTTTATGGAAACAAACCCCACGCAGGACCTCAGACCTGCCTTTAACAGGGATTGGTTCAGCAGAGCCTTTTGTTCAGCTCTTGGCAGGATCTGAACTTTAATCTCCACTGAGGGGTGGTGCAGATGTCAGTGTCCAGTTTTACTTTGTGCTTGTGGTCACAGCTATGAATTACCTCTCCCTGGAACTGCTCCTGCAGTGTTCTCACAGTTTCCTTTTCCTTAGCCAGCTGCTCCTGGGTGGCCCTTAGGAGCTGCTGCAGTTTTGTGGCCGCCTGTCCAAGGTCATTGGTTAACTTCTTCTCTTTCTCCAGTCTTTCCTGTAACTCACAGAGACAAAGAGCAAATCCAACTCAAACTGCCGTTTCCAGAGCTCCTTCCTTGCATCTTTCAGGGGATGATGTGCATTCAGGTAACTGATCCCTGTCTAACAAAGGAACTGCTGTGCAACACAGATGAAGGACAGTTTACATTTCTCACATAAGTAAGGATTTATTAGAAACAAGGGCACTGGTTTGATAAGGTATAGCTGCAGTGAATCGTAACACTGTACTTTTCATGACAGTCTAGTAACTTCTTCCATCCTAACAGGAAAAGGAATCTCTTATCGGGATTTTGCTTTGCGGTTCACCCTGGAGGTTAAGTGCCGTTACAATGGCAGAACAGCTGCTTGAGATCAACCAGCCTGTATGAGCGCTTCACCCCTGGTCTCAGTCGTCAGCAGTGCATAGCTCTCATGCCAGGAGGTTGCTCTTGTGACAGAGTGGGTATGATGGTCATCTTTTGGGCTGGGAGTCTTGGGTGCTCATAGGCCAACCTGTGACAGTTTCCAGTTACCTTTAATTGCACGACATCATCTGTGTCCGAGACAGGGGCTTCTCCAGCCACTTTCAGCGCATCTAGTTCTGCCTGCAGATCTGAGACTGATTTCTGGGCCTCAAGGAAAGAAAAAAAAAATCAAGTTCAAAGAGCTCTTGTACGAGATGAACACTTCAGTACAGGATGAGGTGCAGTATGTTGGGTACACCTTCAATTTAATCATTGGAGCCAAGATTCTTTCGGAGCCAACAGTGGTTAAAAAAATGCCTTTAAATATTTATGGAAGCAGAGCTAGTTTCTTCTGTTTTACACCCACCAATTACTGCTAGCACTACCTAGACAGTTACCAATGTTATGTAGCAGCAATTATTATAATTTTTCACATTACTTGCAACAACCGGTAAAGGGATTTAATTGCAGTGAAAGGTCTGGAAACGTTAGGTCTGAAAACTTCTCTACCTAGCTTTCAGCCATTTGATTGTAAAACGTTGTAACACTACATTAGTCTCTCCGCAGTTCAGCAGTCTTGCTCACCATCTTTCTCCCACCCTGTTGCCTACAGGTAATTTCTTCACACCAACACTTGAGCATGCCTGTACTCATCCACAAGTGCGGACAGTGACTGAACATCTGCTCTGGGAAATCCCATGTACATTTCAAAAACAGCTTGAATAGCAGTCGTTTTTCTTCTGGATGTACAGGTCCCCAAGCTCACCCAGCCTCAGGCCAGATGGTTCTTTAGTTTTGGGTATTTCTTTTAAAAAAATGTACGTCCCTTAATGAGGGGTTTCTTTGGACCCTTCATTAAAACGCTTGAGCTACAGTCGAGCAGCCCTGCCACAGAGAAACATGGGTAGCTCTTCCCTGGTGCAAGGACATGAAGCCTTCAAAATTTCACCCAGCGCCTTATATGCCTAAAAGTGGTGAAAACATTCCAGACACACATCTTTTACCACTCTCTGATAAAGTACCACTTTTATCTGAAGCAATTAAGCAGATGTAGGTTCCTGACTGCCTAAGATGATGATGAGCCTCAAAAAGAGAGGGGGCCCTCAGCCAGTAGACCTGCAGATCAAGTCCAGACCCCTACCCCAACTCCCAGCTCAGCCACAGGGTCGCAAACTGACATCAGATGGTCACAGTGGCACTAACTGCACTGCCCTTGGCCCGGCCATGATTTTAACATGGAGGCAGAGAGAGGGAGATAAGTGCATCAAAGTCCTGTCAGGTGATAACAGAAGGCTGGCCTGAGGAATACCTGCTGTGTGTTGAAGAGCACGATAAACAGTAAAACGATTTAGTTTTACTAAACTGGGTGGGGGGGGAAGGCACTCCAACTACAAATTAATTGGGATAAAACCAGAAACAACAGCACATAATCAAACATCACAAAAGAATCAAAGGCTGGAAAAGCATTCAATTAAAGCCCAACAAAAGCTCCAAACCCTGGGAGCAGATTGTTTTGCTCAAGGCAGGACCTACAGACCAGCAGGAATCGCTGGAATGTGAGGGATGTCAGCCATGCAGACAGCAAGGAGCAGGTACCTGTTCAAACTCCTCCGACAGCTGCTGCCTGAGCGCCTGCTCACTCTCCAGGTTCTCGATGGTTTGAGTCAGCTTATACTGTAACTGAAGAAAACAAATTCAGTAATCAGTCCAAGCGCTGCAAAGCACAAAGAGATTGAGTGAGGGAACAACTGGAGAGAAAGCCAAGAGCTAGTGCAGCACAGGAGCAACCAAGTAGAACAGAAGAGAAAACGCAACCATGCTGAAGGTAAGAAAACAGACATCCAGGATTAGCAGTGTCTGCGAAGCACATGCAGCACGTTTCCCAGACGAGCAGCAGCCCGAGTCAGGCCCTGTCTGAAGGCCAGCGGGAGACAGCGACGGCCAGTCGATGCGTTAGTGGTAACATGCAGCTGCTGGCCCTGGACTGAATGGCTATTACGGCTCAAGGAGATCAGATCACAGCAGTCGACATTGCAGTGGCAACTGCATTTCACTGCGCTGCTTTGTCCAACGCATCCCAAATGGCCCTTGGCCTTGGCACGCTAACCTGGCTGGGCTGCACCTCTCCCCGCGTCCCAGCTGCCTCTCCGTCCTGCATGTGCTCCTTCATCTCGCGAAGGTGCTGCCTGACCTGCAACAGGATGCTCTTACTCATCACGCACACCTAACCAACAGCACCAACTCCCGGCTCAGACACGGGGTCACAAACAGAACATTGGTTTGCCCAATGGGGACCTTGCTTCATGTCAAACTCAACACCGATCCATGCGCAGGCTTAAAGTTCAGTCAAATGTGAGCAGTGTTACCACTTTCTAGCCTAATCTCATCAAATTTCACAGACTGTGCAGGGGGGGGGGGGGTCTGGTCAGTCCTGTGATGGGAGACCTTCAAGTAGGACCAGTGTGCTTCTGTAACCTTGGTGAACCAGAAGGTGGTACTCGATCAATCCGCAAACCAACCAGGAAAGTGAGTAGGAACAGCTGCTGGATGTTCTATCCTATGTTAAACCAAGGTCCTGGCTACTTAGTCATTAAAGATGCCATGACAGTTCCCAAGTAGACTCTTCTCTGGGTTTGTAAAACCTGCTCTCCCAAAAGTTACCCCTTAAATTTAATGGATGAAGTAATTTGGCACTTCAACTGATCTGCTGTGCATTAGCATTAGGGGCACAATAACTGACTTTTTGGACAAGCAGCAACATAAAAACCCAATACTACACCACAGTACGTTTCAGGTCTCCTAGTTTAAGGACTCTCTGCTTTTAATGACAAGTTTTTATAAATGTTGCACTAAATATTTTTTCAGTTTACCACTGCAATCCTGTACAGTTTTTTTTAAGTTTTCAGAAACAGCAGAATAGTATGGAAAGTCAAGAAAGCCCAGATGTCCCTTCGCAGTTCTTCATGATGGCATGATCTTGTCTGTGAAATGGGTAAGATCACCCTTCAGAGCTTTGTCCTCCAAAGAGCCTGTGCACATCAGAGCCAGAATACAACACCATGACTTGAGAGAAAAATAGCAACAGTGGTGAAGTGGCACTGTGTCCCCCAAAACAAGGACTGAAGACCTGGAGATTCCCCACAGATCGTGGGATAGACGCGAGCCCCCAGCCTGGGCTTCGCCCTGCAAACAGGTGCACCTACCAAAGCCAGCTCCTCACTCTGCTTCTGTGTGTCTAGTTTGGCCACGTCCAGCTGGCTCTGGGACTCCGACAATAAGTCCTTTAGCTAATGAGGATGAAAAAATAATCAGTCAGCACCTACACCAGATCCAGAAGGGCTCCTAGTGTGTGGTCCAACTAGGTCTTAAACTAACCAATTATTTCTTTAATTGAACTGGTATCCCCAAACCCTAAATAAAAAGAATAGAACCAATGCTTTCTGTGAACACACAACGGGATGTTGTAAAACAGAAAAGACTCACAAAATCAGAAATCATGGGACCATAGAGAAAACATTGAAATGAGAACATTCTGCTCTGAAAGCTGAAAGAGAAGATCTTCGCTACCGCAAAACTCCCACTATGCCAATCAATATCAAAAACCACCTCCTCGGGTCACACTCACCTGTGCCACCTCTTCACAGTAGCTCTGACTGTTTGAGTTAGCAGATTCCAGCTGCTTCTCTAGCTGAGCCTCAAGAAGCATCACCTGCTCCTTCAGCTATAGAGAAAAATGTCTTTAAGCAAAGAAGACTTTAGAAATGAAAAGTGTACATATACCACTGCACATTTTCAAGTCAACATTCCTAGAATTTCCATGGTCTAGGACTACCACCCTCACAAAACTCTGTACAGAGTAGGACATGGCTGCACAATGCCAGTCCTTGAGGGCACAAGCTGCTGGACTCTTCTTCATCAGCTTAACTAACAGCTACAGACCAAGATGATGAAAAGCAAAGGTGGAATGAAAACCCACAAACATCACAGCCCTGCAGGACCAGAGCCTGGAAGCACTTGACAAGGCAACCCCTGAAGAGTTAAAATACTGAGGTGCTAAATATAAGAGAAACTGTTCCTCAATGCAGCTGGGAACCTCAATTAGCACAGTCTGAATTGGGTTGGACCACTTAAACAGTGATTTGAAGAGATCTGGAAAACCTGCAGACACCCCAGGCCAACTGCACTTGTTCAAACGATCATTTCTTTCATGTGACAAGTTAATAAACTGGTGCTACAATTCCAGATCCTCCTCCTCTGCTGGGACACTGCAGGGCCACAACTGGCCTGGATCGATGCTCCCCCACTGCTAGGTAGCATACCTGCTCTGTGCTTTGGCTTTCCAGCTTGAGCCTCTGTACAGCTGCCTCCAAACTCTGGATCTGTTCCTGTGCCTGCAGAAAGGATAGAGAGTACATCATTATGGAAACCGTTTCTTGGTCGAGTTCTCTTCTTGAACACACATCCTAGCCTTCCTGCCCTTTACCTTCTTGAGCTCCTCCTCTGACTCTGCTATTTTGGCCCTCCACACCAGCTCCTCCTGCTCCACACTTCTCTGGAGGTCTTTCAGCATGCCTTCCTGCAGAACCACACACAATATTAATAACCTTTTTTCACTTAAGTCTACATTAAAGTAACAAAAGCAGCAGCATGCATAACTTACTGTAAAGTGAGCAGGTAATAGAGAAACTTAGGAGGAAGGTTTTGAACAGCCTAGCTATTGGTCCTTCAAATTACATAAAGGAAAGTGAAAATAACTGCTGTAGACCAGATAAGAGTTTAGGCAAAACCTAAAGGTTTTGTGGCTAATTCCAGACCCTGAATTAGGATCTCCTGTTTTAGGCAGGAATAACATGAAAATGCAGGTTTGCGATCCCTGGAGCATCTGCCTGCCAACTGCTGCTCCAGACTCCACACCCTGTGGTAAGCTATCCTCAGCTGATACCAAAGGTTTGACAAAGGAGGAGACAAAAGGCAAAGATCAGAACACAGACAGGCCAGGTTGCACAGATCTCCTGGACCTTAAGAAAGATAAATGAGATTGAGATCAGGAGTCATGACCCAGATGGCTATACTTGAAGTGCATTTTGAACTTCACTTACAGTTTCTGCAAGAACGCTTCTGTACTGCTCACACTCTGCCTGTAATGTAGTCTGAGACTCCTCTGCCTCTTTCAGCTTCTGCAGGAGTTCCTGAAACAATAGTTAAAAGCTCAAATGTTATACTGTGCAGTGACCCCACCCCAGTCTGCACTGTCTTGGACATGTGCCAATTTTTCCTGGACACCCAGAGAAGAATTCTGGTCACAACTGTGGCTCTTTTGAACTCAGGCAACACAGAAATGCCTTTCCCACTGAGTGCCTGAAGAATGTCTTATGACAACAGGTTCTCTGGAAGAATACAGAGAATGTACAACATGAGGTGGTCATTTGGCATGTATTGCTCTACTACATTAGCAGTGGTAGTTATTCGATGAAGTACATCAAGCAGCTTCTACAGTGTGGAGAGACCATTTCCGACACCCACTGCTGTCTTTAAATTAGTGCATTTTACATGCAAAGGCTCTACCCAAGGGAAAAGATCAGAAGAGAGCCGTGTGTCTTAAGGGAGCAGAACAGCATCAAATGTAACTGTTTCAGTCAGCCTTTCAGAGCCTGACTGATCTGAAACTTTTAAAAAGCGGTTCTCACCGGTGATTCTGTTTTCTTGTTGAGAGCTTCCTGTGCTTTCTGTTTGAATTCCAGTAACCAGTTATTCTGGAGGGAAAGAAAAAGTCTGCAGTTGAACAAAGGGGCAGAAAAGCAGCAGGACAGACTGTGCATCATCTAGAAATAGCCACAGTGCAAATGGAAGTGTGGGGAACTTGAACAGAGAGCCAACAGCAGGCCGAGAAGGCTCCTGGGCTTTTACATCAGCAAGACCCACATCCATTGCATCCATGTACTGTGGTAAGGGATCAGGTAAATGTTTATTCCATGCTGAAAGGAAAAGACATTTCAGGTGAAAAGGGCGCCACAGCCAATACGTTGCCCTTTTTCCTTTCAGTATGGAATAAACCTTTACCTGTTCCTCTGCAGCCTATGCATGCTGAGACAGATGCCTAGTTTGACTGTGATAAAGTCCTATTCACTAGACAAAACCAGGACACCGGAGAGGATCTGATTACCTGCTCTGTGTCTATAGGGATCTGAGGGAAAAGCATCTGGAGCGCCTCTTTCGTCTCCGTCTGCCAGCGGCTGAGCAGCTGCTCCGCAGCATCCTGGGAAGAGCCAGAGGGCTCAGAAAGCAGAACAGGACCGACTCCCCCAAAAACTTCATTTACTAAACACTGGAATATTCTGCTCTCCACTGATAAAGGGAAAGTGGATTAGAAAACAATTCTTGCCAGTGAAACTCAGCAAGCAGTAGAACTATAGAACATATCCACGTGTACACACACCAAAACCTCCATAAGGAAGTCCAAATCAAGAGCCCAGAATGTGTGAATCAGGCCAGTGGAGGAGAAGTAGGTCCCAGCAGTTACACAGGTAAAGGGGTGTGCAGTGAAGTGGCAGAGAACACCCCAGGTCTGTCTCCATGGACAGGTGGTGCTCAGGAAGAGGAAGGGCAGCAGGTCCAGATAAGCCCCCCCTACATTCAGCAGTGAACCGTGGGTAATGCATCGCACAAACGCGAGGGACAGTGGTCTGTGCAGGTCAGAAGACGCGACAGTTTTCTCAACAGTAGAGGGAAAAAGTGAGGAATGCCATCAGTATGACCCAAGTAGTTATTGCCCTCTTATACTGCAGCTAAAGAAAGCAAACATTAACCTCTATCATGTTAACTAGGAAAGTAAAGACAAGTCACTATATATTACCTTTTCTGATGCCAAAGTCCTTCAAATGTTTAACTGCCCTAAAAACATCCTCATTTTTTAAAAAGGAAGACCGCTATACGATAAGCTTTTCTGGATTATGTCCAAGCCAAGTTAAGCAAACTGTAAAAATATTCTTGTTTATTGTCAGGCAAAAGCTGGTCTTCTTAAGAAATATGTCAGATCAGCTGTTCTATAAACCACATGACAGGAGTGCAAAAGTTTATGCAGCTGTTTATAAGACAACTTTGCACACACTGTTCACCCATTCAGACAGCGGTTCTACAGCTTGCTGTGCTCCTGAGCGGCCAGGAGGTGGTAGTGCAGCTGCAGGAAGCGAAGCCTGAAAACTGCAGCAAAGCTCTCTGACAGCTTACAGTTTGCAAAACTTGACCAGGATCTCCATTGCCTGCTGCACAGCTCTGGCTTCATTGTGGTCTTGGTAAAAACCTGATGCTTCAGGCTCCTAACCTTAGCAGTCTGAGCAGAACTCAATTTCTCTTCGCACATTTTTTCAGAGGATGCCAGCGCTTCGATTGCTTCCCAGTTTTTCACACGAAGATCCTGGCAGGAGAGAGGTGGGTGTGACAAACCAGGGCTTCAGAGAAATGTTACAATCACTGGCTGCAAGACACCCCTGGCACCTTACCGTCTTCCGCATGTTCTCTTTACCAGAACGTCTGCAGAGTAACTGATCAGACATGTAAAATAGTTTTACAGTGTCACACCACAAGGAATAGCTTTAAAAAGGCATCAATTCTCCAACAGCTGCGAGGGACATGGAGAACTATGGCAGAACAGTTTGAAATGCAACATTACTGGATAATCTAGACACAGCTGTATTGGATAACAGTTATGATACAAGCAGAACCTGTGAAGTGCCAGGCTGTGTCCTCGATTCCATCAGAGAAGGGGTAACTTACATTGTTTTTCATCTTTTGTTGTTCGAGTCCCTCTTTGAGCTGGAAAACCTCTTTCTCAAGCGCTGAAACCTGATGTTCTTTTTCCTTCAAGCTGAAGAAGGAGAGTCTTTTAGGATCAATGGAAAACGTTAACAAAATGAAATGTATAAAAACCAAAATGTACCTGCTCTGAAGCTGCTCCATCTCGGCTGCCTTGGTGAGCTGTTTGAATATAAAAAAAAAGGACATATTCAGTAAGCTTAATTCTTAAACGATCTGAGCCTGGAAGCAGCTTCTCAAATCATTAGTGACTGTAATCCACTTCAGAAGAGCACTTGATCCTTTTATTAAAAGGAAAAGATCTCATGCCAGCATGCCATATAACCCTGCAACTCACAACTGGCAACCCACTGAAGCTAAGCAGGTGTGAGCCTGGTCAGTACCTGGATGGGAGACCTCCAGGGAAAAACTAGGTTGTTGCTAGAAGAGGTGTTAGAAGGACCAGCGGGGGGCGCTTACCCTGCGGTCCATGTGGGTCCTAATACCCCAGTATAGTGACAGGGACACTATACTGTAAACAGGCGCCGTCCTTCGGATGAGACGTAAAACAGAGGTCCTGACTCTCTGTGGTCATTAAAAATCCCAGGGCGTTTCTTTTAAAGAGTAGGGGTGTAACCCCGGCGTCCTGGCCAAATTTCCCATTGGCCCTTACCAATCATGGCCTCCTAATAATCCCCATCTATGAATAGGCTTAATTACTCTGCTCTCCTCCCCACTGATAGCTGATGTGTGGTGAGCGTTCTGGCGCACTATGGCTGCCGTTGCATCGTCCAGGTGGGGCTGCACATTGGTGGTGGTGGAGGGGAGTCCCCATTACCTGTAAAGCGCCTTGAGTGGAGTGTCCAGAAAAGCGCTTTATAAGTGTAAGCGATTATTATTATTATCATGCAGATTTGAGAAATGCAAAATTTTATTGTTGTACTGCCTTCCTGTCAAACGCCACATCCTAACTCAAACTGCAGATTTCATTCTGCTCGTTTTAGACCCAAAGAGTGATTAACCAATTAAAGGAGGGGTGTGCTTTCAACTACAGCACACACATGCCTGTGTCCATTTACAGAAACTTGGCCTTCAGAGGTCCCCACAAGTCAGAGGTCCCCCTTCTCAGCAGGGCAAGTTTGGATTAAAATTTTAAACATCCATCATGGTCATTTGAGTGTCTGCAGCAAAATCCACATCTGCCTTTGCAGGACAAGGGTTTTTACCTGAATTTCCTTTTCATTCTCTGACTCTTTCCTCTGACTGGCTTCCAGCAGGGCCTCGATAGAGAGGATCCTCTCCTCCAGCCGCGTCTTCTCCACGCTGACCTGGCTGAGCTGGGACTGCAGACTCTCCACCTGCGCACACCTGTCCTTCACCTCTGCCTCTGCACTGGATACCTTCGCCTGGAGCGCTGTACAACACCAATATGGTTCTTAACAGCCAGGAGTTCAGGAGGAGGGAGCAGTTACTTTTGGTCTCCATTTACGTACTTTTCCAAATCCAAGCACAGATCAGTTTCACACTGAACATCTGCCACAGCAACATCTCAGAGTGCTGCACGGAAAGAAATGCAGGCAAATTTCAAAGCAATGCAAGGTGGAATACTAGAGCCTGCAGAAACCAGATAAAGGCTTCCTGCCGAGGACTGGGGTGTGGCCAAGCAGCTCAACTTGTAAGAGAGTGCTTGTCCAGAGCACATCTGTAATCAGGACATCAAGCTGGTCTGACTCTGGGCAGGGTTTTCAGTCAGCTGTGACCGAAATACCCAAATGGCTGCACACGCTTTTCTGAGCACTGCTGGGTTTGGGTGGATTGCAGTTAGCAAGCGTGTTCAAAGCTCTACAACCTGCACCCACAATGCGCTGCGGAGTATCAGCTATTGTAGACATGCTGAGGGCTGAGGGCCCACAGGCTTCCAGTGCGAATCACAGCAGGGTGGACTGAAGGTGTAAAAACAGAACTGACCAGCGATGGAAGCCATCTCTTGATTGGCCTTCTCAAGCTCTCCCTGCAGGCTGCTGCTGCTGCTCTGGGACTTCCTCAGCTCCTCGCTCACTTCGTCCAGACGCTTCTGCAGCGTGCGCTCGCTGTCAGCCTGGCTGGACTGCGGGGACAGTGCAGACCACAGGCTCACTGTCAAGCACAGCAACACAATCCACAGCCCAGCGGAACCCAATTCAAATGAATGTTTATCAAAGAATCTGGGAGACATCAAAATAACCTAAAAACCTCCCGTTCTCACCCCCAAGTCTCACAAAGGGCAGTGCAGTCCCTGCTCACCTGCAGCTGGCTGATCTGTTTCTCAAAGGCAGCCACCTTGGTATCCAGGCTCTTGCGCTGCTGCTCTTCAGCCTGCAGGGCCTCACTCTTCTCACTCAGCTCCTTGCTCAGTTTGCTGCACTCTTGGCGCAGCTTGGCCAGCTCAGCATTTTGCCTGGAAAGAGGACAGCGCTGGCAATCCAGTGGCAAAGAACTCAACCCAGCGTACTGGGGAAATCATTATTAAACTGAGGTCTCAGCTAACACCTCACTATGACAAGTCAAGAGATTCCAGCCTGGAGGTACTTAATTCAGCTTCATGAAAAACCACACCTGGCAACTTTCATTACCTTACCGACAGTACAGATGTTTTTTTCTCTATCTTAATTAAATCCTAAAACTGGTTTTATTTCGTTTCAGGCCAAAAGCTAATCCTGATCTATGGGGCATGATCTTCGGGACATTGCAAAAGGGGATAGGAAGGAGGTGCTCCCTGCCAGGGTCTTCCTGCTTACTTGCTCTCAGTCTGACTGGTGGCCTGGTTCAGCGCATCCCGCAGAATGGAGTTCTCCTGCTGCAGGCGGGCCAGCTGCGCATTGGGCCCATTCTCCAGCTGCTCCTGCAGGCTCTGAATCTGCACACAACGAAAACAAGGGCAGGTCTTAAACTCGATTTACAGGCTTCGATTGTTTCTCCTTACAGTTCTCAAGTTAAGTGGGAGGCGCTGTGTGACCTTGGCGTTCAGCTGCTGCGTCTCCTTCACGTGGTCCTGGTAGCTGGCCTGCATGCGCGCCTGGAGGGCAGCGATTTCCTGATCACGCGAGCTCAGCTGCTCCTTCAGCCTGGCTTCCACTGAGGCCGTCTTGGACTTCTCTGCATGCAGCTCCTGCAGGGAGAGAGACGGGACTCACCGCTCACCTGGGAGAAACAACCTCGCAACCGCACAGCACAATCTGGCCTACTGTGTTTCACTAGAACCCATTTCTCATGACGGTGCACAAAGCTCTTGATACCTAGATCCTTAAAATAGTCCACTGGTTCTTACTGGTACCCTCTGCTCACTACCGACAACCCAAACCAAAACCAGTGAAAGGCTGTTAAGGATTTATCAACCCCCCCCAATTGCAGCAACATGACAGGAGCAAGCCTGAACCTGTTTTTAGGGTGAAGACACTTGCAAGGTTTCAAGTCAACCAGTAGATAAATTATAGCAGCAGTAGTTTGAACTTCGAGCACAATATGGCCGTCAATAACTCATATTGGTTTAAGTAGAAACCTGATTCAACAGTTAAAACAATTGCACAATTATGTGATAAATGTCTTTTAGCCTTTCTGCATTCTCCATACCCATCAAGCAGGGCTCAAGTCCAGGCACAGAAAGTTTTGAAAGCAGGAAGAAAAAATCCTCATTAGGTCTCTAGTCAAATTACTTTAGAAGAATACACACAAATATCCTCCCTGACTCTGCAAGATCAATACAGCAGATATACAATGTGTCCCCAGGTAAGCCCACTCACCTTGCTCAGCTCTCGCAGTTTGTTCTTGGCAGCAGCAACGTCCTCCTGCTCGGCAGACAGCTGCTTCTCCTTCTCCTCCAGCTGACGCTTCAGGGCCGCCACTGGGTCCCCCTTCTGCGTGGCCTAGAACAGCAGAGCAATGCTTTAATTACCACCTTCAGGAAGACAATAGTGACATCAAGAGGATATAAAGGCCTGATCAGCTCCTCATTTCAATGAGAACGTCACAAAAATCCTTTTTTCCATCTCCTTAGTCTTCAAAATCCTGGCAACATCCACCCCAGGGAAAGCTACAAACACAAGACGGGACAGGAGCCAAGGGCCACAACTGGAGATGGATGTAGCACGTCTGGGAAGGGCAGTGGGAGGCATCTCTCTCTCTAAAGTGGATGCTGCACATTGGAGGTGGTGGAGGGGAGTCTCCATTACTTGTAAAGCGCTTTGAGTGGAGTGTCCAGAAAAGCACTATATAAGTGTAAGCAATTATTATTAAAGTGTTGTGGGGGCCTGAACACAAACCCACACATGCAATTCACTGAGGAACCTTGACTGTTCACTCGGAATTTAATTGTCACCAGAAGAATTAGTAGGTATTTTAATAGTATGACCGAGGAACAAGATGGGAAAGGATATTTAACAGGTAAAACCATCATTGTAACAGCACCTCCTGCTTACCATCAGTTATGACCCCTGTTTAACCTGACTTTCTGGTTCTTCTGTTATGGAAACCACATTTCCATGTTATTAAAAATAATCGCTTTCATTTGAATAATTTTCTCATATGATAAGCATTATCCTGGGCATAGTATCATTGCATACCCAAATTTTTTAATGCCAACTTAGAAAGTCAAACGCAAGATGAACGCTTAAAAAAAACTGGTAAAAAGCAGGACGTTTCTCTTGTTGAAGAGAGTTTCTTAGAAGGCCTACATTTGAAAATAAAATGTCACTCACTCTTCTCAACACAATGGGATAAAAAGCTCAAAGGATCTGAGCCAGTGTGGAGATGTTTCAACACTACAGCTCACAAGATTCCTACAGCTTCCTCAATGACTACCTTTAGGAAAAGCATTTGACTTTAGAAACTTACTAAAGTCTTACTGAAGATTTAGATATGAACACAGAAAACAATACCCATGTGAAACAGCGATCAGGGCTCTGGACTTGACAACCATGTCTGAAAGGTTATGGGTTGTGCCGGTGTTTTCAGTGCAGTTGAGTACAACTGCTCTTGTACCTTTGAGACAGGTGCTTCACCAGAATTGATCCAGTAAAATACCCTCAATTGATTAGCCACTCAAATGTTTTTTTTTAAAAACCGCAAGACACTGCAAGACTAACTGCATGGCTCATTCTAGCAGCTGACCTGGCCGACACAGGGTACGCACATGGTTTATTCACATTCTCCACAGAAGTCAATACTGGCATAACAGCAGGTCTGTATTTTATAAAACATAAGTGATGACTACAGACTAACCAATCTATAAAGCCCCTTGCATGCTGGTTTTAAAAAAAATAATTTCAACAGATCTTAACAGGAGCGGTATTTCATAAACGCAGAGGACAAATTACAGATTCATTCCCCTGTGCAGCAGAGATGCGTCTAGCGCAGCTGATGCGACAATCCCCCGGCGCACAGGAGGGGCCGATGTTGAAGCGGTGGGCACTGTTCAAGAGCTGGGACTCACCGTGTGCCAGGTGTCCTGGATGATGCCGGCCTTGTCCGTGAGGATCTCGATGAGGCGCTGTGCTTCTCCCTCGCTGAACACCATGTTGCTCACGGTGGACAGCAGTGTCTTGTAGGGCAGGTACAGGGGGGCGTCCATGGTATCCGCTGCTGCTGCAGAGCGAGAACAGACACCGCCCTTCACACCGGAGCAAAAACACCTTCAAGAAATGCCTCCCCCCCGGCAGGGAGGGAATTAGTTCCGGCCTTCCCCCTAATTCCCAAGCACGACTCTGCCTGCGACCTTAGCCCCACAAAAAGCGGTTGCATCATCACCTAAGACCTTGAAGAGGCCGGCTAGGCTGAGCCCCGGCCTCCACAGCTCAATAGTTCTGTCATTTAACTTGGTGCAACAGGTATAACAAGGCAACTCCATTGCGATAAACGCTTCTGTAAGCTGCAGGAACTGCAAGCGTGAGATTTCTAGAGAGGGGTGGATAGTGGGGAATAAGGTAGAAAACAGCAGAATATGAACTTGCATACAGAATAAACCGGACCTTAATAGCCTTATATTGGATGGATACAGCCTTCGCTCTCTGCCCTGTTACTAGATGACAGAACTCTGGGAAAAGTTAACGTCTGAGCGGTGCAGGTGTGTGTGAAGCACAGTAGAAGAGGGGGGGGACCCTTCCAGATGTGAAGCTCTTCAAGATCCTCTGGGATGGAAAAAGCTCTATAAAAATGCCTTTTAAAACCTCTTTCCAAACAGGAAGAGCGGCTGCGACGCCCCAGAGGGTCAGGTCAGCAAGAGAACTTGTTTATACCAGAACGGGTCCAAGGCTCTGCCCCCTCCTCCGAGGACAGGCCTTGCGATTGTGAGCTGCGGGACAAGCGGATCATGAGCTCATTCGGCAGTGCGCAGCAAGTCATGGCGTGGACCAGCCCCATCTGCGACACCAGCCAGAGATGGCACCAAGGGCACAAACAGCCCTCCCTCACTCCTGTTAGGGCACTGCCAAGCGCGACTGGTATAAACATCCCACAGTAACAGATCTCCACGCCTATTGTTGTGAAGGTGGCAGAGACTTCTACATATTCATGAAATTAACAGCTCTTACAGCCCCATCCCCTGCAGGGGAAAGCCTTTCCCACATATTGTTGCAGCATTTATTACTGCCACTCTTAAATCATTAAGGGGTTAAAGCCATCTATAGCAAGTTCTATTTTAGGAAGCAAGTGCTTTTTTAGCTAATGTAAATACTGGTGTGTGCACTCATCCGAGACGGCTAAACAGACAACAGTAGAGTGCCTGAACGTGCTGATGTAATTTGCCCGGAGGAGAGGGTTCTCAAGTGGTTTACAGAGGGAGTGTTACATTTATAGAGTGGCTTTCACAGTAAGCATCATGGCAGCTGCTCCAGTCTAATAGCCTAAAACGCCTTTTTGTATTTAAATGAGGTTACCCAAACATCAAGAACAGACAGGTCAGGGAGGGCTCACACAGCAAAAATATTTCATTCTACAAGAAAAATGCTTCCAGAGGAGAGCAGGACATGATTTTGTTGAACACTGAGACAGACGACCACTTGCAGACAGAGCTGTGACCAGTGAAGACAACACCGAGCCAAAGTGAATCCAATATAAGTGTCCTGCTGGAGAAGCTGGCATTATGTAGAAAGACAAGCACAGGCGTCAGTCGGGCATGTTTTTTCAGACTCTGCTCCTTCTGTTGTGAAACGGCTCAGACTTGCACGTTGAATACCCCTGCCACACAACTGGCTCATCTTTAAAGCTAGGCAACAACATTCATTTGACACACATTCACCAGGTACTGCCAACGTACAGCTCAAGTGTGAGAAGCAAGACTCTTGTAGAAAAGCCATTCCTGCAGATGAGCTGAGATCATGACAAGGCTGTAGGAGCTGCAGCCTCCAAGCAAATTAAGCAGAGTGTAATTTCTTACTCATGCAGACTCTGTCAGATCAGAAGCTTGAAAAAAGGGTTTCAGTCCCTGAACCTTGTGAAATATCAGAATGTTTTATCTAAAAGGACTTAAAAGAGGTTAAGGGGGTTAAATACATAGTGTCCCTGGCAACACAGCCTCAGTGTTACATTGCATCTCCAGAACCCAACCAGGAAGTGCAATAACTTCTTCAGAGTGAAGGACAGCAAGTCTGTAAAAGCAAAAGGGCTTAACTCTGGGTGCCATTTTTTTTAGTTTTGCTTAACTGGAGAGTCACTCTTCCCAAAATGTATTCCAGCTCCACTGCTCTCAGCCAGGACCTGGGCCCTTCCCAGCACCCATCTGAGAGCAGAAGTCAAATCCAGTCTGTGCTCGAGAGCCACAAACTACAAGAACACATTTTCCATTCTCATGATTAATGCAGATTAAAGGGCATTGCCTGTTTTCAGGAGTCATAAACAGTACTTAAAGCAATAAACCATCTTTACAATCCTGAAGTGTTTCTGAGAAGGCGCCAGCACATTACACAACGGATATGCAGATGCAGGAGGATGGCAATTTAAAATCAGAGGTTTGAAAAACCATAAGTTAAATATGCATTTTTTTTGCTTAGCAAATCTATGAATCTCAACTTTCAACATTTCAGACAGCCGTCAGGTCGCAAGTGTATTGCCAGGTGTTTCTTCCCCATGTTGGGATGCAGACACAGGGCCCAGGATTGCTGGGATCCCCTGGAGGACAAGGACCTGGCCAAGCACCTGAAGAATCTAATGGATTAAAAACCCCGATGTTTCCAAGCAAACCCCCCCCACCACTCCCCAACAGCCAGACTCAGTCTCCCAGGATAGCTGTGGAGGACCAGCAGTTTCCACAAGGTTCCCAAGACGGCAGAACAGCTTTCAGCTCCCAGCTTGTGCAGCAGCTGCCCAGAGCCCTGCCTCCCACACCCTCAGCACACAGCCCTTGAGCTACCCGGCACACGTCCCTCCATCCTGCTTCAGCAGCTCAGCTCCCCAAGACATACCAGAGGGATCGCGAGCCCTCTTACTCCACAGTGATGCAACACGTCAGGAATGCACCACTGACTGCATTTCCCCTCCTGAATTGTAAACCAGCTAAATATGCTGTTGCAGCGTTTTTAGTTTTCCCTTCATATGCTGAACAAGAAAAAAAAAACATGAAAGTCCAAAAAAGGCAATGAGAGACTGTCATCTTCCCATTATAAGCTGCTGCAGAGCAGGAGAAGCAGACAGGCTCAAACTCCTGCTCACTCACCGTATTACAGGCGTTCACATGGCTGCAGACCAGGCAAATGTGGTTAATGCAGGATGGAGCACAAGACAAGGAATTTTTATAATGACCGCTGGACTCTGAGGGTTTTTAAAAACTACTTCCAAGTGTGCGATTTAGTCATGATCAAAATCTAGTCATCTTTTCACTAATCCCCAATGAGATGTCTTTACTGATGACTTATACCATTTATGGACTGTGCTGCACCTATTTCTAAAATGAGAGTTCCTTTTTATCATTTCCTCTTTCAAAGACTTTGAATAGTCAAGTGCCTGCAAGGATCTCATTTACACCAGACCACAAGGCACTGAGAGGCTAAACAGGAAACTCACCTCTGAAATACCTTGTTCTAGATGTTGCCTGAAATACCTTGATCCATGTTATGTTGTTCATAAGGATGGGTGCTCCATAATCAGGATTCTCCAAGGCTGGCACAGCACCACGGAGCTCTACCACATTGTGGCTTTTAATCCTCTACAGAAACCTCCTATATCAACCCCTAATGTCCTAATACTCACCTTTTCAGTTCAGTCCTAGGTAAAGGGCGAGTACGGAGGTGGATCCTTTCCACAATATAGACCACTGTTGCCTCCACAAAAGAACTGCTCTTTCATGGACTCCTAAGCCACACACTTATGCACACAGCCCATCCAAGAGATCCCCAGCTCAGCTGGCTCATTGGAAACCTGACTCGAATAGTTCCGAACAATTGCAACGCAATGCATTTCTACATTCACGTTGGAATTAAAAAAAACCTTGAATTAAGGCATTTAACAGTAGAGCAGAAATTAAAGGCATTGTACAGAGTGGAGAAGCACTTAACTCAATGCCCTTGTCTCCCCATTAAATACTTGACATGTACAATATTTAAGCTGTTCTGTGTAGCTGGCTAAAGAGCTGGAATTTGATTTTACAATTCAAGACTGATGTAATGTGAAGACAGAGTTTCCAGTTCCAACAGATGCACTTAAAACAGTAATACAGCCTGACAACCAACCACGAAACTACTGACCCATAACAGCACCCAAGCATGTGGAAGCTGAGCACAAAGACCTCTGGAACATTTGACTATTTGGTTCAAGCAAGATCTTTTCATTAACCTTAAAAACTCAAAACAGTTTGTTGCATCTAGGAGTGTATTCATAACCATCTATACAATTTTATACTAAGTTAGCCAGAAGCATGAACTATAACATACCTACAATGTTTTATCATAAGGTATGCTGTATGCACTCTTTCCCAATTCGCTTTCATTGTTGATATTTGACAAAATCAACAATCTCCAATGCATTTCAATGGATGTAGCCTCTCAAACTGGTAGAAATGGAACATCAGCTACCATGGAATTGTGAAGAGGCTTCAGGAACCATTGTGAACATTGGGGACTTCACAGGGATGAAAAAATGAAAAACATATACATTAAAAATGGGGCTCCCTAACAATTTAAAAGCATTCCTGCTCCTCCCTTCTGAAGGGAAAACAATAGCCTCTATTAGACTTTACAATTTACTGGGTCCACAGTTAATTGTAACACTTTCAACAGTATTTATGGCAGGTCTAGACCGAGAAGAGAACTCTCGCCTTCTGGGGATGGAGTGTGAAGGAAGCAATGGAGCATCTACAAAATCTGACAACAGAATCCACTGCTCATGCATGCAGGCCTCCAGGCTATGCCCAGATCATCGTGCAACTCAGGACAAAGACCCAATGTGACTGGAGTGTGTGCTTTGTAAAATGGATTTTAATGCAAACCACATCTAGAACACCTTTTACAAGTTTCTGCTGGCATCATTATCTGATTGACAGCACCCGCGTCACACCAGCCTTTTCTATTCTCCAGCATTGCTATAAGGACTCCCTAAAACTAGCACCCAAGTAACATCCAACTTCCCACCCACCCCCATTCCTTACACATGTGCAAACTGGTCCAATAGTGGCCATCATATACTTCCCCTCTGCTTTCTGAGAATGGTTACACATGAAAGAAGGCCATCTGGTAACTCATTTGACATTTAGGATCCCTCAGAGTGGTTAGACATCTTCAGCATGGCTGGGCAGCTTGTTCCAGATTCCCACAACCCCACTGCTTCTTCAAGGAGTCCATCAACACAAAAGAGTATTTTGTACTATTGGATATCAGAAACCTGAATACGCCAAGCTTCCCAATAAGTTAGTGTTATGATTACTTAACAAAAAAGTTTGTTTTATTAAAGAAGGTTTAGTTTAGGGAACTCTGAATATTTAAATGGTACTCAAAGACAGTTACCTTTTAAATCAAGAGATAAATGCATTAACTAAATTAAATTTACTATTCTTTTAGCCTGTTTGTCCAAAGTCAGAAGCTAAGAAAAGCAAGACTGTTAAAGGAACATGACTAAGATTCTCAAGGGAAAATTATCCATTCCTTCAGACAGGATAAACTGTGCTTTTTGACCACCATTATACTGGACAGAGTCCAGATCCATGTTTATCTCACTGATCTAGAAACCAGCCAATGGGAGAACATTCCCCGTTATTGTATGCTCATCTTATCTAACCATAACCGGCGAAATTACTGAATATGCCAGTAGCTCATTTACCTTCTTACACATCCCCTCATACATGATCTTACCAACAAGATCCAAATTTGTTTTAATTCTGTCTAGGGCTCTGGGGCCCAATTCAAGCAATGCTGCTTACAAAGAAACACTGCAGAAAGGAGAGAAACACAGCTGTGGAGCCTCTTCAGGCCTGTGGGCGCTGATGAAGGATCCTGAAGATGCTCCAGTGAAAACGCTGTTGTGCCCCTTCCTTTCCTACTTCCCAGTACGGATCCTACTTCTATACTTTGCGGTTCAGAATGACACTGAAGTGTTTCCTGCACAGTGAAATATCACAGAGCAGTCTATTGCCACAAGAGCACCATCTCCCATGGTTACACAGGAATTCCACATCTGAGAATACCACCATAGATTCAAAACCAGGCACATTTCATAACAATCAGCTTTATGATTAACCAGTCAGCTGCTTTTGCTACTGATATCAGATCACCCCACCCCCCCTTGTCTGACAGGGTGTCTGTTTCTAAATGACCGTTAATAACTTGTGAGGTTTAGAGTGACAGCAGGAATATGGAAGTAAGATGTAGCTTACTTAAACCTTTTCTGGGGTGATTTTATTTTTGAAAAGATTGATTTAGCAAAATTGTAACCAATAATGGAATCTCTGATTCATAGCACATGGCTACTGGAATAAAATTAGTAACTAGACCTCAAACGAAGGACAAAGCACCTGGCCCCTTGGCACACGTGACAGATTGGGGCAGGGTGGGACCAGGAGAGCCAGCGTATCCCCACCCTGCCACGCAGCTGGGTGCCTCAACTGGAAAGGTATGAGAACCAACAGCAGCAACAAGTCACCTTTAGCAATGCAAATGAAGGATTATCAATAGGAAAAAAGACTCACGTGGCTCAGCTTTCTTTTTGGAGGACACTTTCTTCTTGGAAGGCCCATCATGCTTGGCTTCATCATGGCCAGCAACTGCCTCCGTCTTCTTGGAAGGGGATGAGACAGCCACTGGGCTGCTCTGCTGGGCACCCACCGGTGGCACTGCCATGACGGGCACCTCTTTGGTCACGGCCTCCAGCACGGGGGCAGATTTAGAGGTGGCAGCCGAGGCGGAGGCTGGGCTGGGTGCGGGCTCCACTTTAGCCACCTTCTTCTCTCGCTTCTTCTTGTCCTTGGGGGAGGGGGCAGGCTGGTGCTCCAGGACAGGGGCATGAGCCACAGCTACGACTGGGGGCTCGGGGGCAACCGGCACAGGGGGTGCAGGGGGTGCAGGGGTCACGAGGGGCATGGGGACAGGGGCAGGCTCGGGCTCCGACTCGCTCACGGTCTCGCTGGCTTCAGGGGTGGGCTCTGGCTCTGGGAGTTTCCCGTTGGGCTTGTCCTCCTTCTTCTTGGAGCGGCCTCTCTTCTCTGAGGGCTTGTCCTTCTTCTTCTTCTCCACGCGGGGAGGCTGGGTCTTCTGCAGCTCCTTGCGCTGCTTCGCCAGCGCCTCTTCGTACGAGGTCTCCTTCATGGAGAAGGTGGAGACCAGGGCAATCCCGATGGCAGAGATGACCATGAAGCCACCGAAGACCATGAAGCCAAGAGTCTGGGGGTCGTAGATATCCATCTCCTGCGATTTACTGTGCAATGAGACCTGTCAGGAAGAGGTCAGACACACAGATCATTAAAGTGCATCTCCAAAGTCAAAACAAGGAAGGAACTGCTATGATAGCTACTGCTGTCTCAATGAGCAGAAAGAAACAGAAGCTCCAGTATTAATTCAGGCAGGATACCCCACTCTCCTCACTGGAAGCTAAACAAACAATGGCTTGCACTATACAAGTTAGAGTGAAATCTTAAACCGGAGTTTTATTGTCCTTTTTGCCTTGCTTCAACTTATCTAGGACTGTGATCACTTTGGGTTCAAAGACCAACAAGAGAGGATGTCTCCTACAAAACAACCACGGCCAAAGCGTATACTGATAAGTATGAAGGCAATAGGGAAACAAAATAAGATCACAATATCCCATAAACGAGAAACTAGACAAACTAGAACAACTTGGTTTGCATTGAGCAAGTGATTTTCCCCTATCACCATAGGAACTGTTAGTTTGTTACTCAAATTGTGGGAGCCTGGATTCTTTCATAAGCTTAGAACAGACTTCAGCCCAAACCATTTACGCCAGCTAAACTTGGAAAAAAGTTTAAAAAAAGGACTGGCCTGTTTACTTCAATCCACAAAAACAGACCATCCATACACACTTACAGTTAGGCTGTTCTCTCGCTCTCTGGGACACGATAAATTTCACATATGTTAGCACTTCCAAGCTCCGCCCCTTTCACATTCTGAAGGGATTCCTTGGGGAGCAGCTCGTCCAATCACAGCCCTCCTGCGTTGGCCAGCAGAGCTGCCACAGGACTGCTGGGGGAGGAGCTTCAGGTGAGGTAGTCCCAGCACCTGAACAGAGCTCAGCAAGAACTCACACCATTTCCCTGCAGCTCAGAGCTCCTCCACAACCCTTCCTGCAGAGTCTTTACTCTAAAGATATTTACTTCACTAGAACTGTTAGAAAAGTCCTAATCCAAGGATACTTTTAAATCAGATTGCTTAAACAGATGTAAAGGATCAAACCTTCATGTAGTAGAGGGCCTTACAAATTGCAGATTGTAAACTGGACTGATGGAATAAGTAGTGTCCGTGATCAATTCATTCACACAAAGACCGCGCCGTTACTTATATGCACTTATATATTACTTATATCCCTAAGAGTTAAAGTGGATCAACAACAACCTCAGAACAGATTCTCAGAATGGCCAACTGCCCACAGAGAAACCTACCCAACCTATAGCCACAGACAGGTGGCAAGACCACCAGAATATCATGCAAGACAACTATAACGGATAGCTTTGTGTACAGTGTCACTTAAGACTTGCAAAATTAAACATTTAGGCGACAGCAGTGGAGGCAGACATGGAAGTCCTGCAGCACAAGACCAGCGTCTCCAACTAACGCAGGGCAGAGAGCGCTAACCTCCCTCAAGTTACACGAATGCATTCTGCAAGGTCCCAACTCCAAACGCAGATGGCTGGAGAGGAATTCTAGCGGATTAAGACTTAAGTATGCGGTTATCTAAAGAAAAAGCGCAATCAGTGTGCTATTGAAGTGCAGACCTTGTCCCGCGTATCCAGGTGTATAACCGACTGCACAACTGTATGGCAAAGATGTTGCTGGAAAGTTTACTTTTTTCTTGGTGGCAGAGGACTGGCTGCTTTTGTAAGTACTGCCTCTATTTTTCTTTTAATAAGTAACAAAATAATCGATTACTCAACTCGAAAACAAATTTTCTGGCTCCGAAGCAGCCCGTACCCTCACGGGCGATAGGACCCAGCGGCACCGAACCGGACCCAGGTTCGCTTACACGGGCCGAAAGGCAGCCCAATTCGCACAAAACAGGCATTCCCACAGCCACACTCCCGACAGCAGCAACGAACTGCTTACAGGGCAATTACATTATCTAAACGCCATACAAGGTCTAAAATCAAGCAGCGCTGAGCAAGGAGTGCAGCTTCATGGAGGAAAAGTTTGCTCGTCTTCCAAGGGGACCACGTCCTCAAAGACGGATGAGACAAAAGTGAACATTATGCAAGTGTTCTAGCACTTTTTGGTCTTTTCGCTGTAGTATATTAAAACATTTTTGCATTTTTTGTTTGCAAAATAAAATTTCAGATGAAACAAAAACGGCGATAAAAAGTAGCCGTTTTGATTTGCTCTGTAGATTGCTTGGGTATCAACAGAAAAATACAACATCCGAGAGCTATTCTCCAGAAAATGGAGAAAGGGGTGTTTCATTAAGACATCTGGACTCGACGCCAACAGCTGCAGACACATTTTCGCAAACAGTTCAATGAAACGGGTTGTCCAACAGTGACATTGTACACGTAAACTAACTGCTGGCTCTCAACAGCAGCCCGCTGTGCCCGTGCAACGTTTTTGAACACGTAATCAAATATTCCCGGATTACAGCCCCATGAATTCTTTAATAATTACAAATGGGGCTTCGAGAAATTAAGTATGGCTAACTTTATGACTCCGCCTTCCAAAGAATCTCAAAACTCTTTATACTGGAAAGTTATTTTTCCTTGCTCAAAACGTATTTTGCAAACAAAAACTACATTTCTCTCAAGAAAGAAACTTCAGCTGCCATAGCTGGAAACCATCGGACTATACAAACTGAGAAAAACTTTCTTTTAAAATATGTAGCTCACATAGATGGCTACATACAAAGAGAAGCTATCTGCCTATGAAATTACAGTAATAAAAAAAAAAGACTACAACAGCGTTAGCCACAGCTAACCGTGATTGAATAACACGATCATATTTAGAAGATGGAGTTTAAATTTCACGAACTGAAATTTGAGAAGCACTTCCAGACACCTTTTTTCCATATTTTAAACAAATTAAGAACGCTGGACGGCTTGGCAAGACAGTTTTCCGCTAGTTTGTGCGTATGTCACTCTTCCACGACTTTCACCGCTGTAACATCTCGAGTTCTTACTGCCTTTCATTCATTAAAACGAAGCTGCGATCCCTCCATCCCCGGGTCGGTCTTCCTAGCCGAAGTCCAGTCTGGCCAGCAAACCACTGGACTTCCACACTCTTTGGCTAACCTTACCTTACTTGCAGTTGATTCGGATAGGCGCACTCAGCCTCAAGGATGGAAAAAAATAAAGCTCTGTTTCTGCTTGTTAGGGATTTTTTTTTTCTTCTGTCCTTCCTTCTTTATTTCAAATTTTCTATCAGATACCTCTCTCCCCCAGCCCACTGCTTAAATGCCTCGCAACAGCCACAGTCTGTGGAGTCGTGGCACTTTCTGTGAGCTGGCAGAACGCCGGCCCGTGGCCCACATACTTTTAATCCGCCGCGACGCTCATTGGCTAGAATTCGATCAATTAATTGGATCCTGCCCAATCACGTGAGGGAATCTGGACCCTTCTGTACGGGGGCGGGGCAAACAGAAGTGGGATTTGTAGTTTTTTACCGGCTCCTCCGCTCAGCCTTCACACGCGGTTGACAAGGGATTGATGAACTACAAGAGCCGGCGCGCCTAGCACTGGGGGGCGCCCGGTGGTCCTGTGATTTATTGGAATTTGGAGAGGGAATTCAGCAAAGAGGTGTGCGAGTAACGAGGGGTTAGAAGATGTTGTGTGTGCTCTGAACTACAGCTAAACCGTTTTAAATTACTATACACACGCTGTGCATTTATACTCAATTCTGTTTGTTCACAATTCCTGAGGACGTCGGTCAGGCATTACTTAACAGAAATCCGTAACACCATCTTCATCATTCTTATTTATAATAGCATTATCTAGAATGATACGAAGTGTTTTAGAGGAATGTGCCTGTGGCACATCTTTAAATATGCTTCACCTAGTTTCCAATTCAAACAATTTTAGGCCTTTTTGTGCAGTTAATTTAATATTAAATGATCTTGTCAGTGTATCTAGAGTAGGCACTTAAGCCCGTGCCTCTTTAATGCTAAAACCTCACCGGCCTTTCTCAAAGACTCTCAGTGTCGTCTTGGGCACCTTTCCCGGGCCAGTCTGGTTCCAACACTCCAGTCCCCTGCTGTCTGTGCAATATGCCTTCACAGCAGCGAGCTGCTGTGGACCTCTGAGGTAGCCTTGTCAGTATCCCACTCTGAATATGGCTCAGTAATTTGAGGGCAGCTCAGTCACACCTTTCAGAAGCTGACTCACTAGATGTTGCACTTCTCCAGCTGAAAGAGCCGGGTGCAGTGCTGCTGTCAGTCTCCTTTGCTCTTTTGCCCAGGCGAAGAGCTATGAGCAGTAGCTGCTCCTCATCAGCCCTGCGCTAGATGGGCGAGCGGGGCTTCGCCAGTGAGCTCATGAAGACTATCAGAGCTCAGCACACAGGCTGTGGGCTGGACAGGACACAGGAGGGCAGCTGTAGATTACCTCTAAGGATTTTGCCAGCAGCCATATCACTCTGCAACTTACAACTGACAGCCCACTGAAACTAAGCAAACTAAGGTTGCTGCTGGAAGAGGTGTTAGTGGGGCCAGCAGGGGGCGCTCACCCTGCGGTCCATGTGGGTCCTGATGCCCCAGTATAGTGATGGGGACACTATACTGTAAACAGGCGCCATCCTTCAGATGAGACGTAAAACCGAGGTCCTGACTCTCTGTGGTCATTAAAAATCCTGGGGTGTTTCTTGAAAAGAGTAGGGGTGTAACCCTGGCATCTTGGCCATATTTCCCATTGGCCCTTACCAATCATGGCCTCCTAATAATCCCCATCTATGAACTGGCTTCATTACTCTGCTCTCCTCCCCACTGAGAGCTGATGTGTGGTGAGTGTTCTGGTGCACTATGGCTGCCTTCGCATCATCCAGGTGGGGCTGCACATTTGTGGTGGTGGTGGAGGGGATCCCCATTACCTGTAAAGCGCTTTGAGCAGAGTGTCCAGAAAAAGTGTAAGAAAATATAAGTGTAAGCAATTGTTAATATTATTTATTCATTCACCAGGGCAGGTTCGAATGGAAGAGCAGCATCCAGCTGTCTGGAGAAACGTCTTCTGTCTTTACTGTTTTTATTCTTCATGTTGGTCATCATGTGGCCTTCCCTGGGAGACTGCTTCTCCTTCTCCTCGGTCACTACCTTCGGAGACACCTGGACACCTTCCTGGCGTCTAGCTCGGGCCTGGTTTGTCCTTGTTTACCTGCTTCACCTCTTATCCTACCTGCCTGCCTGATGGCTTTGGGACAGAGCACACCGTGAAGGCCATTTCCAAGGACAGCTTGGTGGCTCAGGGGAATCCAGAAGGATTATTATTAGCCTGGGAAACAGGGTTAAATAGGCCACAGTTCCCATGCTCTCCAGCCCAGGACATGAGGCAGCAGCTCATTATCTCCTTGGCAGAATGATGCGCTGGCCTGCTCCTCTGAGGCCACAGGCAGCCTGCTGCTGACTGGAAGAGCTTCAGCAAAGCAGAGGATGGATTCACATTATAGATTCCTTCCTATAATGAGATCTGTACTAAAAGCAGAGACATAAATTGATCTGTACTCAGAAAAAACATTTTGAGCTGTTTTTCTAGTGGAGGGATTAGTTAGCCACACAAATCAGGACTGCATCATATCTGTGCACAGTCTCCTGAATTTTAAATGTCCTGGTTTATTCTGCACCTGTGAAGCCGGACTCTGCATCGTCCTCCTGCCACACTTTTGCACTGCGCAATAGCTCATGTATCTGCTGTGTTCCAATATGTTTCATATTGTGTTTATTTCTCATTTCTTACATAAATACAGCAAAGCATTAAAGATCAATGAAAAATAAAAGACATAATCATAATAAAATCATTGTAATGACTCCTAATAAAAACATTCTACATACTCCCTACAGCACTTTCTGGCTGGCTGACACCAGTTCAATACTGGGGGAGTGAAGTGTCATGGCGGGTGTGCCAGCAGCCCTGCACAGGACACAGTGATGCTCAGAGCTTGGTTATTGTTTAGTCTGGGCCACAGCAAGCAAGGATTTTATCTGCCTCATCAGAGCTCAGGAATTTCACTGAGAGTGGATTAGGAGGTGATATAAACAAACCTCTGTCTTGCAGCAGAATCCAGCAGAAGAGGAAACTGTCTGTGACCATTTGGTTTCTGTTCTGTTACTTTTCATCGACTTTAGCATCCATGGCTCCAAGACTCTTCTTTTAACATTTTTGCTTAAATTTGTATCCATCTTCTTTATTGGGTGGCGGTACAGATGCTCTGCATGGTGTCAACAGCTGGAATCAGGTATTTTGTCCAACAGGTGTCAATCCCATGATTCCCATTCCAGATGTGTCTTGAAAGCATGTCTAGATACTCCAGGAACACACCATTTCCTCCTGCTGTCTTCCAGACAGCCATGAACATGTGGTTGGACATTCACTGCTTATGATGTGAACCACTTCAGTGCAGTCCCCTTATAATTGTTAATGTTCGGGATTTAAGAGATGCAGTTCTTTGACTCAGTGAGATCAGGAATGGTTAATATGCCTCTCGTTTTTACTGTTTGTTCTCCATCATTAAGGAAAAGTGCCTGTTCAAGAGCAGCACTGCAGTAGTGTACACCTACCCATGCCTACCCATTCACATCCTCTGCACCACATCTAGAGGTGGTCAAGTGTCCAGTGAAACACATGAGGTTCAGCTCAAGCCAAGCAACATGCACACACTGGAATTCAGATTTTCACAGACTAGCACCATTGACTAGTATACAACATCACTCTGCTCTGTAGCTCGTGAATGATGACACTACATTAAAGCGAGGCTTGATCTCATATTTCAAGACCCAGCTTTTCCCAGTGCTTATCAATTATTCTGGAGTTAAAAGAAGCCATATGTTCTGCCCAGCAGATGTTGCTCTAATCTATAGACACTATAGGCACTCTGTAGGTTGGCATTTAGCAAACATTTAGCTTCTCCCAAAAGCCAGATCCCTAGTAGTGTAGATCAATCAGACTTGTGCACTTAGAAATATGACAGAAGTAAAAAATTGAGGAAATCACTGATCCAAGCCTCCAGGTCTGAAATACCTGCTGTTTTCAGCCCTAAATACTTCTGCTTTCAATTTTAGTTTTTTAAAAGAACATTTCAATTTTAACCTGAAAAGGTTCTATACAACAAAAAAATGTATTTAAAAATTAGACTAAACCATAATATGTAGGTACAAGCATTTGGAAATGAGTAGCTCTTAGCTATATTCTTACATAAAATATATTTTCAGTACTTTACATACTAACTGTTATTGGGCCTCTGAACTGAAACCCTTCAGATCATATTTGTATTGCTTATATTTAAAACCTATTAATTAGGAAAATGTCTAAGTGTTTGCTGTGAGCAAGTATGGGTTTTGCATAGTGAGCCCCATGGCGATGACAGTCTGTGATCTGGCTCTTTTTCAAAGATAGACTGTTGTTAAACATTTGCCTTTATCAAGAGCACAGCTCTTAATCTCTAGTTAAAGTCAATTGTAATTAAATAAGATCTGGTCACTGTACTACAAACAGCATGGGCATATAGACTGCTCCTGCCTTCTGCTCTATGCAGTCACTTCGCCCATCCAGTGGCATAACACTGGATCCAGGTGAGGCTTTCGAATTCTTATCAATACTACTGTCTGTCTGCTTTTACGCTCTCCCCTCAGCAAGGTCTGGGTGATTTTAAAACTGGACTTTGAGAGCTCCGGCATCTGGATTCTCAAAGTTACAGTGAAAGGTGCCAACACAGCAAGAGACAACATATGGATGCAGACACAGATGCAGAAATAAAAAGTGTTTTCCACTTAATCAGAGCTCTGGCAAATCAGGAAAACTATTTGTGGTTGGAAAAAAAAAGGTGCCCTGGAGCAAAGTCCTGCTGAAAGCCGATACTTCAGAAGCAGGGCTATCGTGAAGCAGAGGAGAAAATTCCCAGGACAGGATCATGTGGCACCTGAGTCCCACAACCATGATGAAGCAATGTGAGTGATACAGCTGTTCGCCACTGACACAAGGCAAGCGCCTGGCAGTCTTCCCCAGCTGTGCTGACATGCTCCTGGTTCAAGAGCCAGTTAGACAGTTTGTGTCCTGTTTACCGGGATCCTCCACTTCTGTACACATAGAGCAACGGTTTAACTACCTACAGGAGCATTGTTGTATGTATTTAACCTCTGCACAAGCCAATGGAGCATGTCCTTTATTTAAATGTGGATCTCGCGAGGTTTGCATACCCCTGCTGACATACTTCCTTGCTGTTGAACCGCCGGGATCGTGAAGACTTCCGGGGTGGCAGCCCGGCCCGGCTCAGCCCGGCCGAGCCGCACCAGTGCAGTGCCAGACAGAGAGGGAGTGCTTGACCC